TTACATTTCATGCTAACTTACATTTCATGCTAACTTGTTAAGATGAATGTGCTCAACCTTTCAGTACTTTTTTATTTTACCTTGTCTAACACCAGATCATTTTACTTGAAAGAGAGTGGACAACTTTGATAGGTTACCTTGCTGTCTCCCTGTGTTTTGTGTAAACTCATTAAGACCCAATTCACAAATTCACACTAATGTGCTCTATTTCAAAGCTCACTATTTTGCCCTGTTAATACCAGACTATTTTGCATTATTTGGCGTTAACACATTTAGATGCAATTCACCCTAACACTCAATCCCCACTTTCAGTACTTTGATATTTATCAGATGATTTTACTCGTCAAAATGAATGTTGGTCATTGAAAGGTTAATAATTAACTGCAAAAGCTGCTGTGTGGCATATTTAGAAGCAATGTGCCCTACTTTTAGTACTTTGTTATTTTACTGTGTTTATTCTATTAAAGTGCTAGACTCTCCACTTAGAGTAAAATAATAAATTGGGTGCATTTGGGCATATTTAATGGGTTAACAAAACACATTGGAATGGTATACATAAAATAAATGTATTTGTCTTTTTACAGCTATCAACAAAGTATAGATGTAAGGCCTCAGAGGTTTGTCAACATATGACGACAAATATAAACAACATGGGAAAGTGTTGCAAAGTACAGAAAAGCAAACAAGAACAAGAACTTATTTGAGGACTATGTTTTGAGGCCAGTTTTAAACTTAACTTTAAATGTCAATTATGGTTATCACCTATGGTTTAGCCCATTAAGTGCCAGCGCTCTGATGAGTAAAATCGTCTGGCGTTAGACAGAGTAAACTATAGTAAAATAATAAAATAGGGCGCAATGTGATTCAATGGGTTAACTAGACACATATATAGGAATATAGGCTAGTTAACCCATTCGAGCCAGCATTTCCCCTTGACATTCAAGTACAATTGTCTGGAGTTAGACAGAGTAAAATAGTCTGGCATTAGACAAAGTAAAATAGTTAGACAGAGTAAAATAATAAAGTAGGACGCATCATATGGCATTGCATTGAGGTAGAACGATTAATTTGGCACAATAGGTGAAAACTATAATTGATTTGTAATGTTTAGTATAACCAATTTCTCATATTAATTTTTATATTTGCAATATTAATTAGTATTTATTAGTATTTATATCTATTTTTTGCATTAAAAAATTAAGAGTGATGAACAACATTGTCTGTCATTTACTATTATTTCATCTAGATTCTAGAATTTCTGCAGGAATACCAAAAATCTTATAGGAAATTAGAATAAATTATTTTCTTATAGGAAATTCCTATAATAATTTGGGACTAGACTTGAGAATTCTTATAGGAATTCCTGTAGAAAAAAATTCCTATAGGAATTTTTCCTATAGGAATTCCTATAGGAAAAATTCCTATGATAGGAAAATTCCTATAAGAATTTGGGACAAAATTCCTATAGGAATTTTTCCTATAGGAATTTTTCCTATAGGAATTCCTATAGGAAATTTTCGTAAGGGATGTTGATGGTTCTAAAATGTTTTGTTCAACCATTTTTTGAATTTCTCATTTGATAAGCTGTCGTTGAACAGGAGAGTGGGAATATGGTGTCGAGTATTGGGGTTTAGCATCACCAGTCTCAATACTGTGTTCGACATATTTAACTCCGCTAACTCCATTAACTCCATGGAGTGGGTTAAAACTTTGAAATGGATGGGGTAAAGTATGATGACAAACTTTTGCTTGCTTGTGTTGAACTTTACGGTAAAGGTTTTGATGTAATTGTACTTGCTCAAGTTGTTCAACAGCTTCACAAGCCATATCTGAGGCTGTTTCGGATGCTGCTTTTGAGAAGTCAGCTTGATGTTCATCAGTCATTGGTGTGATGTCAGCAATCACACCAACAGGTAAAGTCTCGGTATGCTTGCTTTGGTTATATACAGCAAGGTTGACATAAAACTTCTGCTCTGGTTCAATTTCTACATTGTTGGGTTCTTCAAGAAACTTGCTACTACTGCATTTAACATTGACAAAAGTGGTCTTAAATGCATTAGTCTCGTGCTGTACTTGATCAAGGTTAAATCGGACCAGGAATAACATGTGCATATGTAGTGGTAAAATGAGGGCTAGATTCAATCCAACTTTGATTACCCAATAACTGTATTGTGTCAGCTATCATACTAGATAAGGCAGGTGAAAGGATCATACTACCAATAGTAGCCAAAATTACACAGACTTTGATAATGTTAATACCAGGTGATAATTTTTGAGGGGTTTCTACTACTGTACTCAAGGATATGACATTGGTTTCGACTCTTCCAGAAGGACAGACAGGAGGTTCCCTTGGGCACTTTATAGCAACGTTCTTGGTGTTTAACAATTGCATTGGTGGCTTCTAAATGATTGTTACCAAACAAAACATGCCAAGCTAACTTGGGTACAACCAAAATGGTATGTACTGAAGATTTCCCTGGGCCCCTTTCCCTTTCCCTGATCCCTTGTAAAACAGCATCTTCATTAGCAACATTAATTGCAACTGGCTTGGTAAGCTTGGTCATTTTCAGGTCTAGATGCATTTGTTGGACATGTTCAGCATGGGTCAAACTACAAAGCGACACTGAGCAACAAGTATCAAGAGGCAGCGAAAGTTCAACACCGACTGATTTGACTTTTGTCCACATTATATACTTCTTGCTCAAGTCAGGAATTTCAACAGAATTGGCTGCAATGGATGGCATGCCAAATAGGGGATAATCACTGGCTGGTGGGTTATTGTCAGCAGGGGTGGTGGGTGGGGTAGGGGGTTTTGGATTTGGAAGTACAGTTTCCAATTTAGAGCAAAAAAACTTGATAGCCTTTCTTCCAGTTGACTTTGTGTAGGCAACTTATCTTCTTTGTGTAACAGTTGTTTACATCCCTTCTTTTTGCAAACCAGACACACATGTTCTCGATGAAACTTGCATTGATTATCAGGAAGTAAGGAGCGAGGGACATGTTGATTCCACTGGAGGCACACTTCGGTTTGACTGGTAGTATTTCCACGAAATGTTTGTTTTCGTTCTTGGTTTGTCCCAGGATTGTACAAAGCAGGACAGTTTCTTTTGAAATGACCAGGTTGATTACAGTTGTAACAGGATTTGGCTTTTAACATAGCTTTGTCTTCACGAAATGGGTCAACATAGTCTGCTGAAAGGAGAGGTAATGGGGGAAAACTTTGTTCAAATCTGTTAGCAGCTTCAATAACTTCAGATAAAGAAGAATACTTGGCGTCTCGGCTCATCAGAGCTTTCCCAATTTCCGGTTGAAGCTTTATCAAAAATGCATGTCTTAGTTCGATATGATCATTCGTGCCTGTATAGTGTATTCCAGGAATACATTTCTCGAGTTTGTGTTGAATGTCACAGAATCGATGTGCAAAAGTTGAAACAGGTTCTGCTTTACTTTGTTGGAGGTTGTAGTAGACTTGAAGTAATTCACATATACGTTCATCTTTAGGTTTTCCACGTTTCTTAACTAACGATGCTTTGAAAAGGTTAAAGTACGTTTCATACTGTTCGATAGTAATATTGGCAGGGTCCTCTCCAAGAGCATGTTTACATTCTTCAGCAAACACAACAGAATCATAAGCACGTAAATCTTGCTGTACCTGTTGCTTAAGATAGGTTGTCCAATGTTTAGCTGGAACTCCAGAAGATTTTAATAGCGTTGGAAATGGTCAAGTTGTTCGTCAGGCTTACCTGTATAGCGTGGTAAAACCACTTGAGGCAACTTCAAAGTGTCAACATGGCTTGAACTTGGGAAATTTGTGGCTAAATCTGCGACAGTTTTCGTTAGTGCTTCGATGTGTTGTCGATTTGCTTCTTGGGCATCGTGTTGGTTTGCTAGTAGCTGGGACTTTCCCACGTTAGCTAGTCCTTTAACGATCCCTGTGAGTTCCTCAACTGTCGCCATACTGTATTTAGTTAGTACAAACAATGTAAAAAATCCTCTAAAATTCTGTTAAACCGATTTGCATCCTCCACCAATTGTAGTGGTCAGAGTGTATAAACATACACTTTATTAATATCAACAACAATATGAACAATAGAAATAATATAGTTTTTCTTCTACAACATTATCCTAATATAAAATGGTGATAAAATGTGCAGAAATTAGAAAAATGCCGACAAAATTCAAGTTGCGTAAGATTGCTGAAAAGATTATAAGATATGGTATGTAAGATCCACTCAGCCTAATCTGCTTAAAACGGTGTTTTCTTCCTTAATCGAAATGATATGATGTAGAGAGATAATTGCTACTACAAAATTAAATCTGTCTATAAAACTGCTATATACAAGCAATAACTATTACAAGTTTAAAGATATAGGTTGAACTCAATTGACTACTATCTATATTTATGTACTTCAGTTTATCAGTGTGTAGCCAAATGGAGGGGGCAGTGGGGTTCCACAAAAGCCATTCTCTCAAAAAGTCTAAATCTGTGGAGAAATTGGGGGAGAGGGTTAGAAAACTTGACTGAGAACGGCAGTTTGCTGACTACCGTATTAATTTAAACTTTGCAGATACAACAATCAAATATTTATTCCTTTTACAACTAAATGTTTGTATTTGCCATAATTTCTTCCGGGTGTATTGCACAAAACTTAAGTTATGGAGGAAGATTGAGTTCCATAACATAATTGAAGTTTGAGTTTTTACTACTGTATACCGGTAGTAGATAATGCTTGTAAATATTACGATTGATGTGCTTTATAATCTTTGAAATTCTGCAATATCTCACCCCCAAAATGCTGGGATTCGGATTTTGAGGGACTCGATCTAGATTGCAAAATAACTACCCAGACTACTCCCTCCCCCCCTACATGGTATCTCACCTTCAACATTTGCTTTGCCCCCTAAAAAATAAGGCTCTGGTTATGGCTCTGCAGTTTATTCCAATCGACTCCTTGGGCCTTCTACCACTGGACAACAACAGTAGTCAACATAAAACATATTGTGATTCAGGATGGCAGATGCTAAATGTATTTCTAACTCCGCAAAAAAACCAGGAAATGTAATCAGTGTTCCCTTTGACCAACAGTGATTTTCATCTAGTGTTAACCACCCCAGTGACTATAGCCAAGGATGAAAGAACTTTTAGTAAGTTAAAAACTGTGAAAACACCGCGCAGAGCAAGAACTATAGGGACGAGCGGTTAGAAGAACTTATGTTCATGACTTGTGAAAAAGACATCACAGATGAAATACTTGTACAGAATCTAGCCACCCTGTGGACTTGTTTGAAATCAAGGCAAATTGCCATCACTCTAAGTGTAAATTGGACGTGATTGTGGTTGCCTATTCTTTGATTTTGTTAATCCTTTAGTTCAGAACAGTTACAATATTGATACACTATGTTAATATAAAATAACTCTTAATAGATTTCAAAATTACATTGAAACACTATTGAAGGATATTTATAAAAAATTTAGGTCGATATCGTAAACCACGCCAAACCATGCCACGGCCATGCCCACTTTGTCAGCCACAGGCGAGGCATGGAATCCCCTCCCCCCCAGCACACAGCCTTTGCTACGAATTAGTTTAGCTTCCTGAACAAGTTTACTTTTAAGGTTGTTATGAAATAGTCATGGCAACACAGTTCAATTTTGATATTGTGAATATTTGTCACAATTTTGATATTGTGAATATTTGGTCTCCTCTCAATCCAGTAACCAAAGACAAGGCAAATACAAACATTAGAGAGGCACAGGTTCTATCAGTAGCATTTCTGATGACTTCTCTTTTTACAACTGTCACCCTGCTGCTAGGATCTTTCCTGTAGTACCCATAATGCACTAGTCAATCGAAAGCCCAGCCCCCGACCCCCGGGACTATGCAGGGATTTTAACATTTCACGGTTGTTAAAACCCCGGCTAAAAAATCTTGTTCAATTGTTAAAATCGCCGGGTTACCGGGCCTAAACATTTGGGTGTTTTTTTTTTTCAAATTTCCGCAGTTTGATAAAAAACCTAACATTAATATTTCCATTAAACCATGCGAATTCGATTAATTTCCAGGCCGTACGAGCATGCAAATTCGATTAGTTCCCAGGCCGTACGAGCATTAAAAATGGTGTTAAATCCCCGGCTATGATGCCCCGGCTATTTAAGTCAGTGTTAAAACCCCGGGTAGCAAACAAGCGACGTTTGTTAAAAGCCTGTATTTCCCCTGCAAAGTCCCGTGAAAACCCAGTATATCACCGGGGGTGGGGGACTTCGAATGACTAGTGCATAATCCCATGCAGAATCTGATGCTGTGGCAGAAAATGCAGTATTGTCTGACTGGAATGCACATGATTTCTCTTTGACATATGGATGGAAAGAGCTGAATGCTTGTCGAGTCGCAGCAAATCACACAGATCTTCCTTGCCCCAAAGTAATTTTGAACATGCTCTGTAAAGGCAATTCCATAACCTCTAGTTTTATATAAACCACAAAATAAATATATTATATATTTGTATTATTTGTGCACAAAATCTTGAATATCTGGTGCACACTATGGGTAAATGACTGGAGACATACAGTTTTTGCAGCAGTTTTACAAGATTGCACATGGCAAAGAGCTCCAAGCTTTAGATTTTGAATCAGCAAGTTTAATTTCACAGTGCTTTATTACCCCTTTATCTTCTTGAAGCAAACACAATAGATTATTTGCCATAGTGTATTCAATTCCCTTGCATTTTAACTGCCAAACATATTTACTGAGTTATTGTGGAGTTCCTTTTCTCATACAAATTAAATTACGTTTTCTGGTTGCAATATCTAGTTTTAAAAGTGTTTTCAGTAAGACCAACATATGTTTGAGGTGGGCTGTTGTCATTTGCAGAACCTGTAGCTTGATACACAATGGACTTCACCAAACATTTTTTGGACATTGGCCACTCGTCTTTTATTCTATAGTTGCATGTCCTTTCTTTGCTCGTTGTGGTTGTGTATATACATGCATTATTGTTCTCTCTATTTTTAGGTTTAAAATTCAGACTCAATGTATTCACTTGTGCAAAATGGATGCCAATCGAATCTAACCTGATGTAGATGGTGCATTCGCTTTTACTACAATATTTGAGCGAAGGGCAAAATCTTGCTGCTAATTATTTCTACAGTTATTGGCACAAAGTAACAGAAACTATGAATTTCCGATGGCACTGCAAATATTTTGATTATTTTGCTTATGTGCAGATGAGCTGATTATTGTTCTGATTATGTGCAGATGAGCTGGATATTTGCCTGAATGCCTGGATAGAATTCTAATGAATTATTTGGGGTTTATAGTTTTCTTTCTGTTTTTATCAATAAATATATCAGTTCTGTAAATCTAATTCATTATGTTTGTTCAAAGTAGCCAATTCAGTTTTCAGCAATTTTTCCCACATTTGCATAAGGGGGGGATTGAGGAGAAACTGGGGGGGGGGGGCTTTAATTTTTTTAAAACCTGAAAGGGGGGGCTTTGAAAAAATACAGAGAGACGAAAATATTTACCAGTTTGAAAAAACATTAGTAGTTTTAAAAATGTATCACAAAACAACTTGACAAATAACAATGTTTATAGACCTTCAATATTCATAAATGGCAGCCAAATAAAAAGTCTCTTATGTTCATGTAAATAGAACTAGGCAAAGAGATGCAAGTCAAGGCCGGATTTTAGTGAAAATAGTGGGGGAGGTGGAAAACAATGTTAGGGGAGGTGCAGCGGTCTAGCTCACAACTCCCATGGAAAGGTAGGGCTTATTGTAGAACAGTATGCTTATTAACTATGCGTGCAGTGTACATATGTACCAGTGTATTAATGAATTATGAATGTTATGACTCCAATCTTGCCTTTCATTACAATTGCTACAAAGTTTCTTTCAAAACATTGCATTAAAAGGGTACTTGACATAGAGATGAATGGCTATCACTGTTTCATTTTTACAGAGAAAACTTTCTTACCGTCACAAAGTGTAGATCCTAAGCAACCATCACATTTTCATTTTGTTCCATCATTGAAACTTTCCCAAGGGGAGGTGCATGACCTTTCAGGAGAGGTGGAAAAATTCTCAGGGGAGGTTCAAAACGATCTCAGGGGAGGTGTGCACCTCTCCACACCTTCCCTCAAAATCCGGCCTTGATGCAAATAAATCACCACAGCTAGAAAGAGCATACTAAAATAAGTAAAATATTGCAGTTTGGTTGCGAAATGTTGTAAAATACGGAAAATCTAGCCTTGCAAATTTTGTATACTTTTGTATTGCATGCGAAAATTGCAATGCAAAAGTATACAAAACACGCCGGGCACAGATGAATCGGAAAATGACATGTTGTCAAAACTTGTGATCAGCGGAATACACCTATCGGTGATACATAATGTTTACGAGTTACATGAAGTATATCTAATTGTAACAGCTTGAAACTATGGAAACCACATAAAAAATGGCGGCCGAATTTAGTGTGGAAGCAGTGATTGATGCTGTTTTTGAGGACGAAAAATGTGACGATGGTGCTGAAATGTTGAAAACTAATAAAGCTGTAGCAGAAAATTGTGAATTCAATCAACCAAGCATTTTTCGTTTATTGTTCGGATGCAAAATAGACGCAGGGTCCGTTTTCAGGAGGGAATCATTCATATGGCTCAAAGGAATTTACAGAAGGATGGCTGCAAGACGAAGCATTAGACGGCCATACTATTCCGAGATTAAAAGGGATATCCCAGAAGAAATTTTTCTTGTACTAGTGCAATCAATTCAACGTCACAAAAGCCAGATATTTAACCCTCCGAACTGTTATGTCGCCCGAAATAAAAAAGCTATTGTTGTCTCTTTCACCTCAATTATATCGGTGAAAAACTTTTTGAGTTCGCTCAGTTCAAAAGATGTTACTGGCTATATGGAAAGGACCTTGGCTGGTTACCGTAAAGGTCACTGTGTTAATGTCCTGGTAACGGACACAAAAGATTTTGCTTTAACTTATATTCGCAAGGGGCAGCTGATAATTTCATTTAACTTTGGTGAGTGGAATGCCTACAGATTTCCCCAACATGACTGTAACAGATACTAAACACTGCACATTTCAATTTGCTAAACTTTATTGAATAGTTGCAATGGTTTGAAACATGTCTCATTTTGAGATAAACTCTCCTATAGTAAAACATTTGCAAAAATGTAATTATGTTAATATGTTATGCTCCAGGCTAGGCATATTTGGCATAATAGAATCTGTTAAATGTCAATTTTACTACCCTAGAAGTATTTTTTGTTCTCACATGTCACAGACGGTCTGCGATTGTTGATGGTGCTCTCAAAGGCCATGGTCGTTTGATCATTGATGGGGAATGATTTTCAGTGAAGGATTTACAAGAGAAAAAGGATTTTATTCATCAATGATCAACGACAATTAATGACACTGGTGAAGCATTGCCGGACCATTGGCTACATATTATGTCATAGGTCTCTTGGAAAAGTAGCTTGCTGTGTTGCATCATTATGTATATTATTTCCCAAGGTTGGCAAGAAAAATATATGCGGGATGACAGCTGCTGCTCGCCCGACATCACAAAATAAAGCTAAAGGCTGACTGAAATCTTGGCCAATCAGAGAGCCTTATTTTGTGTCGTCAGGTGAGCAGTTGTCATCCCACACAGTTGGGAAAAATTTAATTTTAGTCAGTAAAAAATGTGATGAATTTTCACAAAATTCACTCGTTTTAATGTGGTGAAAGAAAAAGATACAATGCAGGAGTGTTAAAGTTATGTCTGATCATAATGAGTTATAAATTTCGATGTCTATCTACAAGTTTTTCGTCATTTAGTTTTTGTATAGTGTTGGATCAGTATTTTCTTGCCAACCTTGGGGAATTAATATACAGTTTAAAATGCAATGCATGCACTATGTAGCACGTACTTCATATAATACGAATTATGGAGGTTTTAGTGTTATTAATCAGCAACAGAGAATATAAACATTGCATTAACCCATTAAGCGCCAGCGCTCTCCCCTTGACGAGTAAAATCGCCTGGCGTTAGACGAAGTAAAATAATAAAGTAGGGTGCGCCATGGTGCAATGCGACACAATGGGTTAAAGCAATTTTATGATTTTTTTAAAAATAAAAGACCTTTTAGGGAGACCTATGATTAGGTTACATATTACCCTTACCTAGAGCTAACTTTGATAAGTACATAACTTTTATTAAACATCATAAACTTTCATAAAATGCCAGACAGTAAAGTTTCTTTTATGCACTTTGAATGCTTTGCCCTTTGTGGGTGACGAAAATATGCGCTGGGAACCCGTTCCCCACATGGACCAAACTTTACTGTTTGGATAAAATGTATAGATAACATACATTAAATTATTTGCTTAACAATTGTAAAAACTAGGAAGTTCATGTGTGGTGTGCTATGCAGTAATCAACTATAAACATTTACTCTAAACATGCAAAGGTAAAAGATAGTGGCTGGATGGTTGCAGCACTGCATGTCGCTCGCCTTTCTGCACGAGAATTTCTACACCAGCTGTCTTGCAAAAACACAGCAACAATATGAACTGCATAAAATGGCATTCTGCATGTACACGGCTCAGTGATATATTAGTTTTTGGATGTTGGGTGGGAGGTTCCCCCTAAATTTCAGGGGTTTTTTTATTTAGGGGGAATTCCCCCTCGGTAATTCCCCCATCTAAATATCATTTTGTCCCTTTCAACTGTTGACTTTGGTGTAAGAATCTGTGGGGTGGGGGGATTCCACCCCCCCCCCCACACCTGATCCCATCCCCCCAGAAAATACCCCTGATGGCTAGATATTTTTAGAATATTGTTGAAAAGTGAAACAGGTTTGTATCCCTTTGCCCAATTGCCCAATCATTGCATAGACAAGACATACCAATCTCCATCAACACTCACTCACATGCTTTTTCAACCCTCTTAACAATATCAGCCCTTAATGGATGAATGCAGTACTTGCATCCAGAAGACTGTTCTTCTTTCTCCAGCCCACAATTACAAAAGCCAGGTTCCTTAATACGTTTAGGCTCATAAACCAGAACACTTGAGGTGATAGGTTTTGTGGTGTTATAGCCCCTTTCACAGAGCCAGATTAAGGACACATACTCATGTAAAAATGTAAAAAGACCTGTTCCCACCTGCTGTGGTAATTAGTGTTCCCACAATATCGGGAAATAGAAATGTGCTTGGCTTCTCTTCCTTCCATGGAGTTCAAGCCAAGCCCCATTCCATACTTTGTTTTTATTTCCTGTGTATGGACAGGCACAACATGACCCAAAGTCCAAGCAGTTGGGTGATGGCGAAAGAAAAGATTGTTAAGTGCTATGTAAGTCTTACAGTGATGCTTGAGCTCAACAATTTCATTGCTGGTGATATGAATGTGACTAAAAAGGGAAACACACTTACATAAAGTCAGGCAGAGATATGACAGGGCATGAAAAACCAATTCTTGTCGGGAGCCTTTCTTTGCAAGTGGCTCTACAACATCAATCAAGTACATGAAATTATGCAAAAATCCCCTGGAATCCTTTCCAGTAAAGCGGTAATCAAATGGCTTTCCATCACCTCTTGTATCATTGAACCACTTTACAATTCGGTTTGCAAGACGCGATAGGGGGCATTTGGTTTTCATTACCATAACAAATTTAGCTATGGGAGATTTGTCAGAAATTTGGGAAAATACTTTAACAGAATCTGGCAAATGGGAAAGCATCATAACTTTGCCCAGTAGATACCGATGCACAAGGGCACAAGCATTATTTTTCAGGTGCAAAGGCTCAACATGAGCTCTGTCAACAATTTTCCCTAAAAGAGGTTCAAATTCTTGCCTGCTACTCTTTCCAGCAATAAAGCTTGTAACTTTGGATCTCTTATTGGCATCAGAAAGAATTTCGTTTGAAAGCTTCTGCTTCAACTGCTCAACACTTTTAACAACTTTCAATCTCTCTGAGTACTTCCAAGGCTTCCATTTGTTCTTCCCGTCCCACAAACATCATTAGCATTGTCATTGGACACATTTGCAAAGGATGAGAAAAATTTTGCACTATTGCTGAGTTCTCCCCCTAAAAATGATAACATTTTCATGTCATTGGGGAGTTCACCAATGCAAAATTTAACACTGACTTGCTTGCCATTATGACAACAGGTGATACTAACATTTTTTTCAATCTGACAAATGTCAGCCAAAAGAATTTTAATGAACCTTTGGACAACAATGCAATTCTCACTGCAGTTTGCTCTAAAGAGCAAGTAGTTTTCATTACCACTCAATATCCCCCTACCAATATTCAGAAAGCCCACAAGCCATGCACAGGCTGTGTCGTACTTTCCAAAGGGGGCACCATCACCTCCCAAGGAAACAAAAAATGTGTATGGTTCTGTAAACCATGTTATCGAATGCCCACTACATCCGGAGAGATAAAACTCAGCTAACTTCACTAACATATCTCGTTCAGCCTGCGATAGCACCCACGAACCTTATCATCATCATCCAACCCATCACACAATGTGTCATAAGTGCTATAAATAGTTCCCAAAGGAATTGATTTGATGTAGGGCATTAAGCGATTATAGGGTACAAGCCTAGGTAAAGGGCAATTATTGATTATGCTTAACCGAACAGATTTTCCTCCCTTGCCCTTTAATCGATAGCAACTATCTTTATATATTTTACGGTACTTCTTTTTCCCCACTATACCGCCACTATAATACACAGCTATGCTCCTAATTAAATTCTCTTCCGACGACTCATAAGAATTTAACAATTTCTTATACACTCTGGGCATGACTGAGCGCTTGAACTTTTTGCTAGAAGACATGACATCAACTAAAATATCTTTAGAACTCTTTACCATTGCTGTGTCTAGCAAACCTATCGATGTTGGAACCGATAATTTGTCCTTTCCACCATGAATAATCCTGGCTGCTTCAAATGTTCGTTTTCTTCTCTGCCTGGCTAACGAAGGACTTAATCCATTCTTTCCATTGACTAGAAATGTAGGAGTCCTCCACTTTCTTTTCTCTACACTATCATCCAGGTCTGAAATTGAAATTTTTTCTCAGTATGCAACTGGGATACCAGGGTTCACAGTTTTGGAATCCCCGAGATTCCAGAATCCCACTTGATACAGGTTACCATAAGCGGTATTTACTGACCCATCTAAATAATAACTGAAATCACACAAGCACACAAGATGCTTTTATATTCAGAGTGCAGTTTGAAATGTATTTTCTAAAGTTATTGGCTGAAATGAATTTTGAAGTCAGTAAATGGCATCAATAATACATTAAAATGCAAATGATCTTTTAATAAACTACAATATTTTTTGTCAAACCAGAAAACTTGTTGCATTCACAAGCTGACTGGTGGCTGTAAGGGACATAACAGTCCTAATATCTGAAATTTTGAAGTATCCAGATACAGGTAATTCCCAGTTTGGCACCCAAAGCCATATTTTAGTATCTCGTGCAGTTTAGGATACTGCAAATCGTAGACCCTGCATGAACACTACCCTGAACACTACACTGCATACTACACCGAGTTTCTGGAACTACCTGATGTCTGAGGCTGAACTAGCTCTTTTTCTATGTCTTGTAAGTCCTCAACTTCTTTAACTATCTTGTCGATCTTATATACAAAAAGCAAGGCAGGAAGAAAGCATAAGTAACAATTAACATAATTATTCAAAATATCAACTTTATTATGTTTGCGATGTCACTGTGAGTGCATATCCACACCGGGCAAGCTTGAAAAATATTCGAACCTACGACCTTTGGAATACTAGCCCAATACTCTTCCAACTGAGCTACGCGGTCAGGACGGTTCGAGTAAGCGATATTTCGGAACAGTATCTAGTGTTCTAGTAATATGATTTTTTTTCTGTGTTGGTGTTGTGTACTCAGGTGAATAATATGTTTGCGATGTTACTCTGAGTGCATATCCACACCGGGCGAGCTTGAAAAATATGCCCGGCCACGGTGGGATTCGAACCTACGACCTTTGGAATACTAGCCCAAGCTCGCCCGGTGTGGATATGCACTCAGAGTAACATCGCAAACATATTATTCACCTGAGTACACAACACCAACACAGAAAAAAATTAATATCAACTTTATTGTTTAAACGCCAGCACTCTCCCCTTGACGAGTAAAATCATCTGGCGTTAGACAGAGTAAAATGATAAAGTAGGGCGCATTGGAAGCAATATGACTCAATGGGTTAATCTGGGGCCTGCTGTTCAAAAGCTGGTGACCTTAGCCCCAGGTTAACAAAATACCACAAAGCAATCTTCCCAACAGCTTGTTATAAACATCGAGATATTTTATGAAATCTGGCCTGGTTGAATAGAAGCTATTTTCTGGAGTTTTTTATAAACGAACATGCAGAAATTCCCAAAGCAATTAAGCAAATCATCGGGTTAAATTTACATGCGTTGACATTAAAACAACCAACCTTGAGGTCCAGCCTTCTGTGTTTCGCTTTCATATTACAAAGCTCTTTTCTCTTCTTTTCCTTCTCAGTTGTCAACTTAGAAAGTTCATCATGAAGTGCATCTAAACTGCGGTTTTCCATGACAACTTTCTCCTTCAGTCGCTTTCTCTCTTTGGACAGGTCGCCGATCTTAAAACGTGGCATGGCAGTCAACAGCCGCGAGACAGGGTATGTAGATTTCAAATTACAAACAATTGTGCGACTAAATTGGAAAACCAAAACGAAGGCACAACAGACGATCACCTTTTCCTTTTTGCATAAAGAATCTACTGATGGCGTGTTGTAAAGAAAATAGACCAAGGGTTAAATCTTGCTTTGTCTGCTATATTGCAGTTTATCTATAAAACGTTAAACATTACAGTTGTGTACAAAGCATCTTTCTAAACGCATACGGCCATGTTTGGTATCAAAATAAAGCTCGTTTCACGTCCTTTCAACGACTGTAGACCGACTTTATCTGACTTTAATATGTTGCTTCTACGACCCTTTGAAATATGACATTTTAGCGACTCGTAAATTCAATCCCAGTTCCCCGTTTCGAGGCGCACCAAGATGGAAAAAGTGTTACGCAAGATGTGGCGTTTTTCGTGCCCTTTGTGCCCGGCGTGAAATGTGCAAACTTTGAAGGGCTATATTTTCTACATATTTTACAACATTTCACAACCAAACTTTGCAATTTTACTAATTTTAGTATGCCCTTCCCGGGAATATACTTTTTTTGCTAAATAAATTTTTGCTAAATATACTTTGTTTCTCTAAATAAAGAGCTAGAGTTTTTGTTTCTCCAAATAAAGATAAAGAGCTAGAGGAGGACCAAAATTTATGTTCTTGCTTTGCCTGTTGGGGGGGGGGGGG